TTTTCGGAATTCGGCTGCTTCAGCAGGAGTAGTGTAAACGCGTCCTGCATGCCTTAGTGCCGGTATTCTATATTTCACTTTTCTGGTAGCATTGATATGCTTATGCAGTAGCTTTGGATTGGCAATAAATTGATGTGCCAGAGTTTCTTGAAATCTTCGTTCGCACTAATTTTACACAAAGGTTTCTCAACAAGATATAGTTATCCCAAGTGTCGGCGGTTGGACATCTATCGCCAGGAGAAATTCCTCTGTGACATCCATTTCTTGGTTCGACTACGGATGGGTGATAATTGTGTAGGCAACGCACCGACAGGCTTGGTTATTGTGGCGACCGTTATGAGTTCTGTTAGTGTTTCAGTCAATCTTTTCCAGGACTCCAGTGGATCTAGCTCCTCTTCTTGTTGCGTCCATTGTTTGATGGTAGCAAGGTTCAGCAACTGATTGTGATCAATAACGGTGCATGTGTTGGTTTTCAGGCATATTCCTGTTGAGGTGTGGTAAAAGTAATCGAAAAACAGAACTGCATGGTCGCGTCGTCCTAATGGGACGTTATTTCGACCGATTCGACCATAAGCTCCTCGCTTGTCAATTCCAAGTCCAATGTTGATGGTTGGTGGCCTGTTCCTAATCTGGTGGGATTCTTCACGTGATTATACATCGGATGTGAGTCTATAAGCTGTGATAAGTTTCACTCGAAAGGGTGGTGATAGTTCTGGCTTTTTATAAAATGGGGACAATTGAAGTCCCCCTTTGTGAGAACATTAGCGCACTTTACTGAGGCAGCGTTTCTCATAGTCTGCAAGAGTGCCTCGTTAGCTAAGTCCGAGGATGCAGGAGGGCGGTAGACTACACCGATCAAACAATTGCTATCTTTGGACAGCCTCGTTGTGCACCAAAGCGTGTCGAGGGCTGCATTGAAGGGATCGAGTGGTTCACATTGAAGATTGCTGCGGAAATATAGCAGCACACCGCCACCTCGTGTAGAACGCTCACGCCTCAGCGCTGGATCAGAACTACTATGGGAAAACCTAAGATGCTTTGTCGGCCGCTGGTTTGGGCTCACAGGGAGTAATCGGGAATTCAGGGAAGCTATCCTATCTTTCAGTGCTGAGATTTTAGTGTTTGCCTTTTCCTCAGTAGCTAGTAATAACTCCTCATATTTGTTCCAGATGCTTATTACACATTTGATAACAGGGGTATTCAAGCAATCCGTACAAAACCAAAAAACAATCCGATTGTGCAGCCATCTGTTTTGTCTGCTTGCTCGATAGTTTCGCGCACGAGGGGTGAAAGTATTTCGGACAATAGGTGCATGATATTCCTGCCTTGAGATCTTTGCCGCAGCCTGTCAAACCACAGACTCCGAAAACCTGTGTGACCAATGGTGTGTCATTTGTTGGTATACTCCGTTGTCCCATTTCGATTCAGTGAACGGCGAGATGAGGAACAGTTAACAAAGGTTAAGTGGAGTGAATTCGAAATGACCGGGGTAGTCAGGACATATCGATCGTCGTGACTGCTGATATTCATGTGACCTGAATAGCAGCAAACAAGCTTTTTTGGATTGGCCGTCACGAAATATCCGAACGGAATCACGGGACAAATAAGTTAGAGGTAGGGATTCGGAATCTGTGCTCATCTATCTCATCGATCAAACTGCCTTTCTGGTAGTAATTTGTGTGTTTTTGATTCCCAGAGGTTAGCATTCATTTGCTGAATCATTTTGCATAAATTTCACGCTGGGGATTCACGTTTCAGAACAGCTTATCCACACGTGACTTCTTGGTCATCATTCATCACCCTCCTTAAAGTTGCTGTCTGAATTCACGGGGCCCTTTCGCACATGAAAGTGGCCACAACTCGGAAAGTACCGGTCTGACGTAATCAATCTGGTATTTTTCAAATACGATGGATTACTATCTAATCAATTCACGGAGCAATATTCAACAGAGCATCGAGCAAAATATTTCAAATTTTCAATTCGGTTCATAAAAAAAATATGAACGTGTTAGTTTATTATTGTGCGAAATGGTTTACTACTGATTCTTGGTCATTTTTTCAAATGGTTGGTAAGATTTTTTTTAAATTATTTCAGATTTTCAATGTTTGATTTCTGCGTAAAGCTTACTATATTTTGTTTTTGATTTCATTCTGTAGCCGGAAGCAAATCGCCTTCAGATGGCGCTCCACATATCCTCACCCATCCCGAACCACTCACTCCAATCGTCTCCATGGAAAACAGTCAGTTAGGCGTTCAAACGCAGACCAGACAGCGTAAATGGCCCAGTTTCACCATGAACCGCCCTCGTCGTCTTGGCTCNCTGCCTCTAATCCGGCCAATACCCTTCCCCTGACCACATCCACAAGCACGGTTACCAAATCGACGGCTAGTCCAATTGACTTTTCTAGTCCCCAGCTGACCTCCACCGCCGCCAGTCCAGACATGTCACCGTGTACTACGGATCGACCAGTGAGTGGTTCTCTGGCACGTTCGTTGTCGGCCGAACGACGTCCAATGCTTCGCACATGTAATTCCGCGCGTTCCTCTTCCAAGCTATGCCCAAGTTCTGTCCAAATCACAGAAGATGACCAGGATGCTCGATTCTTTCGCAAATCCTCCCTGAGTGCAACAAATTCGCTCAAGATAACCAATCAAATCGGGGTACGTTTGCGGTATTGTCTGCAACTGTTGCTGTTCGTGCAACTACCCGATTCCGGTTACGCTCAGCCATCTTTTTTCTCTGTTTCTATCAACTCTCTGCAGAATCGAAAAGTAGCCACTATGCGTCTGGCAACGGTTAGTTGTATCATTAGATTTGATCAGGTTAGTTCGTAAACGCGCGTGTCGATGCGTTTTGGCAACAACAGCGATTAACCGCGATTGTAAATTTCAGCACCCTCCTCCTCCCNCCCCCCCCCCCCCCCCCAAAGCAGTCTATATTATTCCTTGAGCCTACATTCAAATCTACAAACATTTGAACATTGTCAGAGTATAATCGCAAACTACAGTACCTTCCTTAATGTAAACATTACTTTGTGGTTCCGCAGGGCACTTTTATTGATCTTTTTCGTTTTTTTACTCTGTGATATATCTGTTTGGATGGTAACTGAATGCGTGGATACAGTAGTTCATTGAGAGGATCGTTTCGAGGATAATACGTATACATTTGTGTGAAAAGGGTTAACTAACCCCCAAGTTGCATATCTGCTAAAGGGAGTTAGAATTGAGAAAATGAGTCCGTGAGCAAACATTGATTGGATCGCGGCGATTCCCGATCATGTTGTTCCAGATTATATGATGCAAATATCCGCACTCATTGATAGTCTCATTTGTGCGGTTCAATATCATTGATCTGATCCAGGGTGTATGGATCGTTTGTGTTCTTGTCTGTGTGCATGGGAAAGGGGCGACGGGAGGAGGTGAAGGATTACTTTATTAATGTTGGACTGCTTTTTATTCGGTACCTCTGGTACACGTTGTATATCGCCCGCAATCGCTTTTGCTGTCGTTTGTTTTTTCTTCCGACTTTCATACGGTTTTCTGTTTGCGTCAAGTGATGATCTCAACCGGTTACAGACGACACAGTTGCTTCACTTGTTACGAATGCTTTTCGTTTCACATTTAGTTGAGCACTTGCATGTTCCAAATTTCCTGATCAATGAATATGATTGGCATACACCACACAATTATTGCTCTTTGTAACGGTCTTAATACGTCAAAGTTACGGCATAAGCCACTTTGCTTGTTGCAGTAGGAGACGGATACTGGGACTCCAGTATTCCAGACTGTGGCCCCCGACGAGCTTTTTCTTAGGTTCATTTCGGTTATCCTGCTCAAATTGAAATCAATATGGTTTTTTGCAGCTCATTCAATGTCGCCCAAACACGAGTGACCGTCCGGTCTATCTTCCTCGCCTGTTCTTTCGCTTTATCGTCTCACTCGGGCTAGTCACAGTTTTCCATTCCTGGATGTAACTCCTATCGCAACCCGACGATTGTTTGCGTTGTTCGAGTATAGGCGTTGTACTTTATCGGCTCCCCGTTCAAGTCTTAATCCTGGCCTTGTACACTTGCAAGTTGTGATCGAATTTGGTATGTATGTATTGAGGTGGTGAATGCGATCAGATGGGTGGATGGCGGATGAATTGTAGCTACTTTGCACCCACAATGTGTGTCTCTTCCGCTCGGATGGCGGGGGAGGGGTGATTTCTTCCTCGTCTGTTTAAAAATTATCAATCACTCACAACGCGCGCTCTCTGTGTGGGTGCGTGTGTGTGTGTGTGTGTGTGTGTGTGTGTGATTCAGCACCATTGTGCGCCACTCCTGAATCCACTCGCCCGCATGTGTTCATACAGTGCGATTCGCAACTGGACTTCATCACCCTAAACTCATGCAAGTTTAGGGTGATCTGTGCCAGGCGCACAATTGAATAAGTGTGCAACCACACAAAATTGCTCGCCTTGGCCCGTGTTTCTTGCTTCCCGTGTCCTTATTCGTTCACTTGCTTGCTGTGACCACATTCGGCGCTTACATGCCCATCATCGAACCAGCCCGCCCACTCCCTCCCGACATATACGCTAACTGCCTTTGCCTCCGCCTGGTACGCGATCTATCTGGGTCAAGGTCAGTTCCATTAAAGTTACTGTTTATCCTGTTCCACTGTGTGTCACGTGCTTTCTTAGTTAGCGTTTGCTTGCCTAATGCTTCTTTCCGGTCGATAACTTGGATTGGCGCACCATCGAATTCCTCGAAATTTATAAACCTCGTTCGCGTCATTTTTTTCAGTTTCATTCGGTACAATGTTCTTCCATTGACTAGACGATGGCTGCGCTTTATAAATTGCAAGAAAAGCACAATCAACTATAGAGATTTCCGTCTACATATGCGTTACTTTCATACGAAACTAGTTGATCTTGGAATGTAACTAGTACATCTTTTTCCCTAATTTGGATCCCAGACACGTATTCCGATGTTTGTCGTATGTTCCTCTTTGCAACTGCATGTGTGACGTTGTCTAAAATCTTCATCCACCATAGGTATCCAACAGAGATGCTATCCCATAAACCTGGACGTACCGGATGGGCTGAGCAACAAAATACCACTAGGTTACCCAGACTGGCCTCCTCAATTATTTGATTTATTTCAGAACTATGTCAAAATGATTCGGAGTTGTCATATCATTGGTCGATTCCAATAGCCATCCCATTAATTTGCGATCGAGCGCGTAAACCCAACACACCTCTTCTACATT